GGCCGAGGTCTTGCCAGCAGCGGGGGGCTCGACGGAACGCTGGCAGGAGAACCCTGAGTTTTCCAAGCAATGTTTTCCAAGCAAAACAAGGACCCATTCCTGCCAGAATCCAAGCAGCTTCTAGTCTTCCTGGGGGAGGAAACTCAATAGAACTGCAGCCCAGTATGTGATCTCCTGTCCCAGCCTGAGGAACAGAGAGTCAGCCTCTCAAATAATAACGGGGTTTTTTTCTACATGGGTCTAATAACAATAATATGTTTTTGTTGAAAATGCCTGTAAATATTTAGACTAATTGTTATTGCTTTGGGAACACTGTAATTCGTCTGTCATGCCAATAAAGCGCTTTGCATTCATAACAGGATGTTATCGTGCAAAAAAAAAAAAAATAGGATTACAGGAGAAATTGTGAATAAGAAGGCAAATGGCACAAAGTTGTTTGCCTGAAGTGATGAGGCGTAAGAACAGATTTTTTTGATCGATTGTTTCCATTATCGTCTCAGAGCGGAGACAGGACCGTGTGTGTGTGATGTGTAGCACTGTGTGGTCTGTAAGGTAGGGCAATGGCGGGGATCAGTCAGGATTGGCAGAGATGGTGCTGCTAATGTGATTATCAGAGTTTAGGACTAATCCATAGATTGGATCAGACTGGTGTTTTTTATCAGCATTTGATACCGACGTTAATTGTAAGGAAAACCAAGACATGGACCAATCGCAGTGTTACAGGAAACAGAACTGTCTTTCGACCTATTGTGTCATGCTTTTGATGGATAATAGATAGAAAGAGAAGTTGTGACATTTCCATCTCCTGTAGAACTTAAGAAAGCAATTCATCCTTCTAGCTCGTTTGGTAAGAACATAAGAACTGTTACAAACCAGGGGCGGCCTTTCAGCACCACTAGCTTGATGTGAAGTTTGCAGTTAATTGATCCAGGGATCTCATCCAGCTTGTTCTTGAAAGGTTCCAGGGTATCAGCTTCAACATAATGACTGAGTTCTGTACTCAAACAACCCTTCAGGGAAAGAAGTGCCTCCTGTTTATATGATTAAATGCTCTATTGTGTAGTTTCCACTCGTGACCTCTGTTCTGTTTTTCACTGCTCATTGTCGTCCATGAGGTTGACATTGTCAGTAACTTTGATTTTGACTACTTATACACTCGTATAAGGTCCCCTTCTGCTTCACACTATTGTAAAAAGCTTCATGTACTTCAGCTTGTCAGTGTAGGAGAATTCTTTAAGCCTCAGAAAGTATCTGGTTGCTCTTCACTGGACTGATTCCAGATCACCAATATTCTTTCAGTAATGTGGTAAATATTCTAAATGAGGTCTTACTAGTGTGTTATACAATTTAACAACAGCACTCCTGACTTAAATTCTACACTATTGACTATATGCAGTATCCTAACATTTTGTTTGACCTTTGTATTGCTTGCCAACATCGTCTGCCAGGTGTTTCACAGTTTTTAATTTGATCTAAATGCATTTGAATTTCATCTGCCGCTTCTGCACTTTTTGCTGATCCTCCTTGAATGACATCTTCTGCAGTATTAATTAGGAAGAGCCATGGTTCTGATTCTGATCAGTGACAGCAGAATTACGGCATGGCATCCAAGAGCTCGAGGCTTCAGGTTGTAACAAATATCAAGGGCCAGATACTCTTCAGCTGAAATTATTCGGTATTGATTTTTAAAACCACGAGTTTTAAAAACCCTGACAAACCTTCGGGTTGTCAGGGTTGTAAAGTTAGTTTAGTTAAAAATTAAGAACATATGTACACATGTATACATTTTATTCTCTGGAAGACAATATATTAAAATGAATTAAAATGTGTTATATTTACATTTTAAGTTTGTTAATCACTGTACATTGAATTAATAAATTTTGTGAACTGCATTAGGGCTATTTTGTTACTCCAGTATCATGGTAATATGGTGGATGAATATGTACAATAGATTGTATTTTATACAGTATATTTTTAACACAAAAATTCTAAGGAATGCTTTACTACTAATAATCCTTCATTTACCCAGTATTCAAGAATAATTAGGCTTCTAGTTCACAATATAGCTATTTCTATCATTTTTATAATTTTTTAGATACACTTATTGTATTTTAATGTATTTGAATTTACTATTTGTCATTGTTGCAAATTTTCTACTACTATATTAATTTTAAAGATATTAGATATCAATTAATTTATGTACTTATGGAAAATACAGCTGCTAGAATACCATTGAAGGTGTTCTGATTTTAATAAAAGTGTGATTTATCCTACGAACTTTACAATAACACATTGCTCTTTTTACATCCTCAATAACTCAAGCCAGGTTCAGTGATTTCTTTGGCCTTCCCATTATAAATACTGGACGGTAAGATAGTGCAAGATCAGTTGTGTCATGGCTGTGCAATCTCTGTGAGCATCTCGGCACGGGCAGGTCAGCTGAGGTTATCAATTTAAATCAACAAACTGTAAAATGGGGTTACAAATATCATTTATGTTTTGATTAAAATATTATGGGATTGCCTATTCAATGCTACCTTCACTGCACAGTTCCAAAAATAACCTTGGCTTCCTGGAAAACAACATTCAGTTGACCAGCTCACTTTTGCAAAGCCAAAACCTGTGCTTTATTTCCTCCTCATTTCCGTGAGATAAGAGGATGAATGATCCTTTCTCCCCTTCTTCTCCTTCCATTTATCCTGGATGCCGTTATGCCTCCTCTTGAATATATCACAGCTATCACGCTTGCAGCGCTGTCTTTATGGGTTATTCTTGCAACAGGGAAAAGACACGCCTCTTAGCTGCTCTTGTTTCTCCTCCGCAATCAAGCTCGCTTGCTGCAGGTATCTGTGTTTTTAATCCACCTCGTTACAAGACGAGAGAATTCTCAGTTGCACCATCGTAGGGAAACAAAAAAGGGAAACGGAAAGTCAAGATGTATCGTTAAAATGTAGGAATGAAATCTTAGGGATGTTAGGATGAAATTATGCAAAGTAGAAGTGAGGCTTGATTTAGGGTGTTGTATATTATTTGGGTCACCTCGTTTGAAGGAAAGTCACAGCTGCTCTGAAATCAGTCAAGAGAACAGCAGCCACAGACAGTACATTTAAAGGAATGTCCTACACCGACAGGCCAAAGGAACTGAACTGTTTTAGTTGTGAATTGAGAAGAACACACGATTCAAGTATTCAAAATCCTCAAAGTCATTGACAGAGTCAACACGGTGGATGGCTTCAGAATCAGCGGGCACGAATGGAAAATGAAATGGTGTGTGTGTGTGAGGGTTCAAAACAACTTCTCCAGCCATGGTGTTGAAGCGGATACCCTAACTTCTTTCACAAAATAGCTGGAAGTGCTCCTCGGATCAATAAGCTAATGATCTAAACAAAAGTGGACTAGAGGACCTACAGTAATGATCTCCTTTCTCCTTTCTAACCTTTCTCACGTACTGAGTCTTTGATATCATCTACAATGACTCTCAAGACACCGCTGACATTCACCCACTTCTTGCCGCCACTGTAAAGTACAAATCTGGAGTGGCAATGGTCAAGACCAGACTTTTAATACAATTAAATCATGGCTCAATGTTTTTTTTTTTCTGTTGTAGAAGGTGTTTTAAATACAGTGGGTTAGCTCCGCCCCTCCAGTAAAAATGTGTACCACTGCCAGGTCTCCAGCTCATGCCAGTTGGTTTATGCAGGCCCTCCGAGAGCTCAGACGAGGCCCGGGCCATTTCACACTGTGGGGCCCCCTCTGTTACGGACAGGGGCTGAAGCCCCTGTTGCATTTTGTAGTAGACCCTGTGCGATGTGGTAAGAGCTGGAGGACACAGGAGGCGTGGTTTGGGAAAACACGCAGGGGTTTAATACAGCACAAAATAACAGTGACAGTCCGTGAGACAGCGAGTGGGGGAGACAAGAATGGCATCCAAATCCGAGCAGGTCCAAAGGCAGGTCAGGGCACAGTCCATGAGTCCGTCAACAATAAATCCATCCTGGGACGCGACAAGGTCAAAATGGCTGGGAAGGGGGAACACGCCAACACATGGAGAACATGGAGGTCCTAGGGTGACGGGGCGAGATCCTCCAGACCCCGGGCTCAGGAAGCGGGAGGTGTCGGGGATGAGGCCTGTGCCCTCAGGAGACGGACGTAGGGTTTCCTGGTGCCAGACGGGCTTCGCGACATCCTGACCCTAATGATGAGCCCCGAGGACTGGAGGAGCTGGACTTTAAATAACAGTACACATAACAGGGTACACCTGGGGAGCCTAGCAACATTCACGGCACTAATAATTGGAGTAGTGGAGCGCCCTCTAGGGGAGGAGTGTTGGGTGTGACACCCTCATTGTCTGGGAAGAGGGGCAAAAAATATTTAAATATAAAGAATGGCATGATGGGAAGATTAGGTCAGGAATTTTGAAACTCCTAAAGAACGGTAGATTCAGTACCGAACTGAAAAGGGGATGTTTTTATCACTGACGTGGACTTTAGTCGAGAATCGCATTATGTGGTAAAGGTTACAAATTCGCCTCAAGTGGAGAAACGCAGCCAAAGGGTTAAAGTGGAGGACCACGCACCCCGGCCTGAGGTGAGGCCCAGGTCAAATGGCCCTGCTGGCCCCTGCTCTTATGTGGCCTGGGTTTATGTATTACTTTCAGAAGCTAAAGTAAAAAGTGTGTGGGCTATTTATATTGACAAGTTCTCTTCTTTGTAAATTTCAGTTTTTATTTTGTTCCAAGTCTTTACTGTTCACAGTTTTTTTAAAATAAAGTTACTGCTACAGCAAGTTTTAATACTGTTGTTAATTTGCAGTTCATAAATTATCAGCTAAGGTAAGAGCTCACTACCCATCCTGTGAAACAAAACTCAGTTTCTCCCAAACTGAGAACATAAATCACATTCCTCACACAGTTGGCTATTATATAACATTTGCATTTCTGCTGACAGGATTGCAAGGTGGGTGCACATTTGGTAATTGGCTCAATCTGGATTTGTTCACAGGTGTCTGTGCTAGCTTGTGTGTGCTGTGCTGTTCTTGGGATTGCACAGATGTGCATTACCCTTCGCCACTGCAAGTCGAGATCGTCTTATTCCAAAAGGGTGTTCCTTCGCTAGTGTTGCCGTTACAGAGTCAGATCCAGGGATGTCTTCTCCGACACATACAGGTGCGTTTGCTCTGACTTTCTGCATTTTCTTCTTTTCCTTACTGCTGCGGTTCATGATGAATGCATCTGCAACTAGGCTAATACAGTACAGCTGTGAAGACTAATTATACGTACAGCAATACAGACAATGGGTTGATTGAGAAAAAAGCTTCAGCGTTCTTAAAAAGAAACCAGTTTATGGAATCGGAGTGCTTGCTATCCAAAGACAGTGCATAAGCCAAAAATATGAGCCTGGAAATCATTAAGAAATTGCAATCTGTGTCTGTTTTCTTGTTTAAATTCATTTTAATGTTAAGTCTGTTTAATTCTGGTGATCTGTGATATCATGTATGCTACAGTTTGGCATGTCTAAATCACATGTGGTTAATGACATTGTTCTGCTCAAGGACTATTACATTTGGAGCCACCTGGGTATTAGTTTAAACTGTTTAAAAAAGTAAAAGATAAATAGGATGTTTTCTTACATTTACTTGACTCATTTTACAAGAACCTTTTATATGTAGCTGTGTTGGTCTTGCTTTAAATTTTTCACTGATAATGTTCCTTAACAGTAATGCCTAAACAGGTGCGAAGATTTGTTTCAATTTCTCTTGAATTTCAGTTCAACTTTGCTTTAAGTATGCCTTTTACCATATAACTGGATCAGTTTTGGGGGATTTTTGAATCGCCTGGTAAGACTGTTACTTAAGGTAGTATGAATTTGGTTTTGGGAGCCACCCATACATTCCTAAACAGATATTTCCTCTTGAATAATGGCTTTCAGTTTTCAATAAATGGACGTCTTTGTTGCCATGCCCTGAAGACGCATCGACGTAATTAACACTGCATAGAAACACTAAATATTAAAAAAACATGTTCATTCAAATCTAGATCCATATGGATGTAAAATCTAGAGTTTATTGTTCATACACACCTCACTCAAGTAATGTAAGACATCTTCCATCCATACCATCTCAGGAAAGTGTATTATAGAACCTTTGGGACAGAGTGTGGCTCACCACTGCATTCCCCACTGAGGACTGGCAAATTCTTGCTTGGGGTCTGGAGATTCCAGTTAGGGGGCTGGATCTCACCCTGTGTGTGTGTGAAAGAGCAGGTCAGGGAGGTCAGCACCTCGCACTCAGCGCTGTGGTGACAGTGGGTGGCCGAGGGCTGTGTACTGTGTGCTATATGTACTAGAATGGCAGTCAACTACAGTTACCTCCTGCACTGTCTTCTGCTGGCAGTGGCCACTGTATAATACAGAGGAGTATAGTGGAACAGTGACTGGAATGTTTCTGTTATTCTGATTCTGTCAGGATCACCTGCTAATGGAGTTTACATTTCTCTGTCTCATGACCTTTCTTTCTAATAGTAATGGCATTTAGGTGCAAGAACTTAATTACAGTCTCCTTTGACTTTTTGTTTCTCCCTGAGTTTCTGTTTTTGACTGTACTCCCTGTGTGTGTGCTATCTCCCCTTTCATTCTAGTTTCAGTCCAGTTCAGCTGAGTTTTATTTATAGTGGATTGTCCTGGTCTAGCTAGGGTTGATCAATCAGGGATCTCTGAAGTTAAGTCTTGGTCTATGGCCTTAATTTCTTAGTAGATTATTGAATTATTTTGAAGTAAATAAGTATTGTCCGCAAACTTGTATTATGGATTTATGACTATACAGTAGGAGCGATTTTTTTATCAAAAGATACAGTACCAATTGATAAAAGGTATACCTGTCTAAGAAGCCTCCCTAGTAATAGAAATCACTGGTGTGGTGTTATGAACCTCATGTGTAACAACATGGCGGCCTGTGTGTAACAACTTAAGAACATAAGAAAGGTTTCAGACATGGAGGGGGCCCTCCAGTCCATCTAGACCAGGGTATCTGTTGCAATTGCATGGCTGGGTAGCTTGCAGCAGGGATCCTCCCACAACCTTGTGAAAAGATGTAGTTTCCCCTCTCTGTTTTACCAGTGTAGTTTCAAAGGTAACCTGTCTTACGTGTGACGCCACAGACAAGCTCCGCATTCTGGATTCAATGCATAATCCTTCTGTTCTCTTTTGACTCCACCAGCATGAACTCGCCGTCTACGGGATCAGCTTGTTTGGCAGCTCCAGTACTATAGTAAAACCGATGCCTCTGTGATGACAGAAGAGTCTGACGCGGGCAGGCCTGATGCAATGTGTGGTGCAATGTTTAAACTCGTACTGTACTTCTGAAGAACAGTTGCTCACATTCACATTGTGGAAGTAGGTACTGTGATGAAATACAGTACTATCTACTTTGATATATGGTGCATTTTATAACATTATTATAAAACTTTTTTTGTGTGTGTATGGTAATAATTCCGCAAGTCAGTGGCAACTCTTTCCATGTGAAGAGACCACACAGTGAATTCAGGGTGGCTCAGTGGTAATTGTTGTGGCCTTGCAGCAGTGCTGTCCTCGGTTCAAAACCCCAGGGTGCTGTCAGCATGAAGTTTCACAAGCTTGTGTGGGTTCTTTTCTCCCCCCACGCTCCATGCTGAAACATGCTGTTGATTAATTGGCTTCTGGGAAAATTAGCCCCGGTGTGAGTGTGTGCCTGCCCTGTGACTGGATGTCCGTCCCATCCAGGGTGAATCCTCCCTTATGCTTGATGCTTGCTGGGATAGGTTCCAGCTCCCACACAGCCCTACAAGCAGTAGGAAAGGTGATGGATGTTCGAATGATGGACTCAAGTAGTGCGAAGTGTGGGGTTTACAGAATGGAGCGTACGTGGCATGGAATTAGCTGTTATTCAATCCTAATGAGTGGATTGATTTTCTATGATTAATCCCTGGATGCACACCAGAGCTATCTGTATACTTGTACCTGAATTTGGCAAATTCCTTTGAAACCTTTATGACTGTGCCTGCTGTCCTTCTCCACACTGCCACAAAGGCTCAGCGTGTTTGACCCTCTGATTGACTAAAAAATAGGATGGTGCTGTCAGATGTGTGTTTTTTGTTTATAAATTAGAGAACTGGATTAAGTCAAAGTTTAGTTCAAGCTGTCAACAAGCAAACCCCAAGACCATTACCTGATGATGTCCATTGCTGTGACACAAGTACCTTGGGATCACAAAGCTGCAACAGATTTTTGCCTTTTTGCAATTGGGCAAGAGGGCTGAATTACCTCACCTCTAAATCATGCTCTTTTTGTTCCATATCCACATCCGTGTCTTTTCCATAGACTTTTTAAGGAAAGCACCAGCGATAATCAAGAAATATGTCTAGCCTTCCTGTAATACTTTGTAAAACATTTGCATGGGCCTATGGACTATTCTATGAACTACTCTTAAGGTTAAGTAATGGAATTCTTTAAAAAGCAGCTAAAAGTCATCACAAATATTACTTTTTAGTTACAGAGTGCCATTGATTTTATCCATACTGAGAGTTCATTTTTGTTTGCACATTAGATGAAAATTTACTTCATTTTGGAGGAAATCAGTTTTAGTTTTTGTATGCTTGCCTGAGGACACATTTACATCCACAGAGACTTTGGATGCTCAGCTCCAAGAGAACATATGTTCATTTTTAAATATGTTGATCACTTATCAATAGCTCCAGCAATTCTCAATATCTTGATTTAGTGCTGCCAAGGTCTAAGTGAAGAAGGAGAATGTGGCTTTGTCCCAAATGTTGTAACTGTTAAGCAGGTTAAAGAGTATCTTTGTAGAGGACTGATAAAGTTAATCTTCACATTCAATATCCTGCAGGCCCTTGCAACATTTAAAAGTTCTGGACATCCTTTGGAAACTCTTTGTAAAATTGAATGTAACAGATGGTGTCTAATTTATCAGGTGACTGGAGTAGGCAGGTGTTATCTGTGAAGTAGAGAATGTTTGATTTTTAAAGCAGGATAATTTTAGCAGCTCTCTGCCCCTGAGTCTGATAAAGTTTTTTTTTTTTTCGGGGGTTCTTGCAAGTCATAGTGTTTTCCTGGAACACGATGGCTTAGGTTCACCTTGAAAGGTTCTCATTTAGAAAAAGGATAGGAAACCAAAAATCCATGGAGAAGTAGATTTTAAGAATTATTAATCGGCTGAAACTAATTTCACACAACCGATTGACACATTTGTTTCTGTAGATTTCAAGTTGAGGTCAGCATCTGAATTTAAGATGTTGAATATTAGCTACTCCATGTAGCCCCGCCTTTCACCCCCTCCTCCAGCCTGTAGCTGAATCCTTTGGTAGTGAATATAGTTTCTTAATGCCATTGTAACAGACAAAAATCACCTCACTCTGCTAAGGCAGGACTGCATGGAGTTTAATACAATTACCTACTTTTTAAGGTGACCTACAAATGTGCAGGTCCTTGAATTGAGGCGTATAAGATAGTGTCTTACATGTTCTTCAGTGCATACAATAGTGCTGGCCTGCCAGAACAGTGACGATAACTTCAATTTCCTCCTCTGCAATGAACAGAAGAGAAACTCTTTTTTTTTTTTGTTCTTCATACATAAAACACTCCATCACACATTATACTAAAATATTTAGCAATAAGTGTGGATTGAAAGTAACTGTTAAACTAAAGTCCAGATCTTGAATGAACGTAAAATGCTTTCCTTTCATAAATGTGAGACCATCGCTTCTTTCTGTTTAAAACATTTTTTCTGTGTGACGGAAAAAGGAATGAATAATTAATACAGCATGCACATCCTTTTTGCCTAAAACATCATTTTTTAGTCCATCTGGCCACTGAAACAGAAAAAGCCTGAAATACACTCACTTTATGTTATGAAAGTTTTATAGTTTTTAACCTTTTTTACCATGAGTTATTGGCTCATAATATTGCTGCTCTCTGGCAGGTTCACACTGTCTGTTTTAGAAGACCAACAAACGTGACTGAAGGAACTCAAACACCAGCAAAAAGTGGATCTGATGTACATTTTAATGTGCCCATTAAAGGATGTTCCCCAGAATTTAAAAAGAATCTTACAAAGGAACCTTTTAAATATGAAAAAGTAATAGCTATCCTAAAATTAGTTTTGCAAGATAAAATA